ATATCCAAGTTGTGCTTTTTTCAATGGAATGCCTCAAATTTTATTGCATATTTGGATAAACCAATTCAAAAGAAGAAGATTGATATAACATACTATGGAGTTTTGGTAATTAGCTACTGAGATGTAAGGTATTTTGTCCAGAAAAACCGTCCAATTCGGCAACCCCTCAATCCGCCATTTGGAAATTTGGAGTACTGAGTTTTGTATCAAAAAAAACTTACACACCTCAGCTTTTATCTTATTTGTTACTTTTTCGAATTTTCATTTTTTCTCATACAGGGTAGTCAAAAACGCGAATTGTGCTGTTTCTCAAAAACTTCAAATGCATCACCCTGTATATTTGTGCAAGTTTGGATTCGATTTTTTATAAGCTTTTTTGCTATAAGGTTTGATTCAGATAAAATCACTAGATTTTGAGTTTTTAAGCTTTTAGTAGAACAACACACCAAAATTAAGGGAAAAAATAACATCATCCATGGAAACAAAAGACAAACAATGAGCTAGTTCCATATTGCCACTAAGAGTACAGCACGCGTATTCTGTATCCTCTAAGAAAGAAATTTCTTTCTATAAACTCTTTATCGCCCCTATTCTGTAAGATGATTCGGCTGCTGCCGAAGGCATTGTTCGGTATAAAGGAATAGAAAGACAAAATTACCTCTTTCTATTATTCTTATCTCTTTTTAACACATGCGTACTTATTGCATCTTTGTCGGCAGTCCGCATGTTGTCTACATTACGTAAAAGTGGGGTTATGCATATGTTAATAACGACGGTTAATAATAATCATCTACAAGTGAATACCATGGGTAAGTCTCAGTTTAATACCAAACTACTTAATTTTTAAATAATATTTTCCAGATAAACGGGATTTTAAGACTCATCCTCACCAGTGGAGCACTATTGTGGACTTTGGAGAAGAGCATCCCACAATTTTTAGACCACAATTCAAACATGGTGACGGTGATGCTAGACAAAATGCGATATGTTGGGAGAATCTAGTACATTGAATTCGATGGGATTTGGGTTTATAAGTGTGGAGAAATGGAAAATGGTTTAGTTTTTATATCATGACCGTATATATTTACCTATATCGTGCTTGTTGCACAAATTATAGACGGTAGTTTACCACTTAGGTTTACTTTATACAACTGGAAAAAACTTTTGATTATTCTAAAGTTCTTTGAGAATTTGTATTTTAAACGTTCAAACCACAAACCACCTCCAGCAGCTTACCAAAATGATTAAAATTATATGTCAGTTTGTCATTTAAAAAGATACAAATATATGAACTTTAAAATACTTAAAGAATGAATGTGGGTGTTTATTAATTTATTAATGTTTAATGTTGGACAGTGCTATATCAATAATTTATCATTTTTATATATTGCTTTAGGGTGTTGGTAGATGGAAATCTAAGGTTAAGGCAAAAGCAGCACAGCTGAGGATCGAGAGCCAAAAAACTGGTGGTGGCTGTTTAAATGCTGCTCCGTTAACAGACACAGAGGAGCGACTAATGAAATTAATTGGTTGGAAATCAGTAACAGGGAATAGCAATGCAGAGCTGGGATTGGTAACTATGTCATTTGATACATTTAAATGAAATTGTAAGTAGGATTGTAATATGCAGGATGAGCTTTCAGTGTGGCCTCGGTTGATAACTCTGTTATTAAACATGATATCAATCAATCAATTTTCAAATGAGGCACCCTGTATATTCTAACATCCTCTCATTGCCCTTTAACAGAGTTGACTCTTTTTAATTCAGATATGAATGGAAAAAAATGAAAAATATTACATTACATTCCCAAATAAAACATAGCATAATGGCAGAGCTAGCGACTGAGCCCTCACAAAGAATTAACCCTGTATGTATACTTTATCTGAAGTCACTTGAAACACTGTGAAATACCGGGTGCGTTTTATATATCTATATTTAACACGCTCTGTTGCTGCAAAAATCGCCAAATTTCGCAGCAAATACCCCTCGTATAAGATCAAAGGCAGTTTTACCGGTCCACGTGGAGTAAAGCACGCCTATGCGTGGACATAGCCAATGAGAAAGCGTGTATTTCAGAGCTCCGAACAAGTGCAGGTCGCTACTGAAAATTGAAACAGTTTAGCCAGTGCCGTGTAGCGGTGAATAAACGTGTTTTCTTTAGTCTGTCCGTGTTTTTTCATAGATTTTATTAGTTTGTGTGTTTTTGACTTTTGAATACTCAGTTTACTTGTTGATTTAATTGTGGTGTTGATTGTTCTTGTGTGTCCTAAATATGGCTCTTTGGAGACCTTGGGAAAATGCTCCAAGCCACGAGGAGATGGTTGATGAACCTGTGCAGGCAGAATTCTTTCATAAAGATTTAGAGGAACAGACCCAAAGAGTAATGCTAAATATGTATGATTGTCTGAAAAACGAAAATCCAGATTCCTCGCAAAATCAAATTTTAAACAGAATTTGTATCCTGACAAAAATCAGTCGGTCTACCATTTATCGGGTTATAAAAAGGGGAGATGTAGTCAACCATTCATTCCACAGAAAGCGCATAGGGCAAAAATTAAAAAGAATAGACGTGGGTTTTCAGGAAGATATTCGTCGTATAATATACGGATTTTATAAAGAAAATTTGGTGCCCACGTTGGAAATGATACGGGATAAATTAAAAGATTATCCTGAAGATTTTTATAATTACAAATACTTAGACTCACTGCACTGTATTGTAAAACTGTGTGGTTTTCAATACAAAAAATTAGATAAAAGAATGGTGATTATGGAGTCGTCTCGAATCGTTGAATTGCGCCAAGAATTTTTGCACAAAGTTAAAATCTATAGAGAGCAGAAAAGAAATCTGATTTACCTGGATGAAACGTGGTATGATACCCATGATGTTGTGCAGTACGGCTGGGTTGACGACAGCAACAAGTGCATTTTAAATGCACCATGCAACCGTGGAAAACGAATCATTATTCTCCATGCTGGCAGTGAAAATGGATTTATACCTAATGCCTTGCTGTTATCTGCCAAAAATATCAAAGAATCATGTGCCGACTATCATGAGGACATGACCTCCGACTTATTTGAAAAGTCGATAGAGCAGCAGTTAATACCAAACATTTCCCCAAATTCAGTGATTATTATGGACAATGCGCCATACCATTCCCGACAGAAAAACAAAATTCCGAATACAGGCACAAAAAAACAAGACATTATTGATTTTATGAAGGATAAGGGAATGGAAATACCACAAAAATCAACCAAAGCCATATTATTGGATCTTATTAAAAGACAAAAATTTGAAAAAGAGTATGTTGTTGACAATCTGCTTCAGCAAAATGGCCATGAAGTATTACGTCTACCTCCCTATTACTGCATTTTTAACCCGATTGAGTTGGTCTGGGCTGCTTTAAAAAAAAGTAAGAAAACATAATCGGACCCCTCAATTAAGTGAATCGCTATTGGCCACAATAAGAGATGCAGTATCTCATATTGCTGCCACAGACCTATGGAAGCAGTGTTCTAGGCATATTATTGAAAAAGAAAATGAATATTGTGTTTTGCCTCCTGTAAATCCCGTTGTAATTCCTCTACAAGATGACTCTAGCGACAGCTCCGAAGGCGAGGATGATATATAAATACCTATAATGTAAGTCTTTATATACCTTTTTATATACCTACCTGCTATGTAAATATTTGCCTATGTCAAACGTTGGAATTCTGTAATTTTTCCATTTCTTAACTTTCAGTCAACATAAATTAAACTCCCAATATAAGTATTTTTTATCCCAAATCAAAAAAATAAGAAGATAGTAAAATCCATTTATTGTGATATAAAAACATTATTATTATCGTTCTAAATAAATGACCGCACGCCTATGATACGTCATGAAATTACAAAGGACGCGCCGACCAAAGGTTTTTATGCTATTTCAAGTGACTTCAGATAAAGTATACTTACAGTACAAACATTTTTATCTACAGGGATCCATCCGGCCCATCGCAGCACACCAGCCACTGCCAGAATTGAAACCCTTCATAGAAGGAAACACCAGTAAAACTGCAACACCAGATCCTCAACCTTCTTGCAGCACAGTATCGAAGTCGCCTCCAACACTAAGGTTACTTAATCAAGAACCAGCGTAGTCGACTATCTACTGAAAAATCAAGGAAATTTGTTTCCTTGGCAAAAATGCATCAGGAGGCCATGGAGGAAAGGAAAAAATTGAGAAATATTGTCAAACGACAGGCTGAAGCCCAAGAAGCAATGGCTGGAACACTTAAAGAACTTTTGGCCTATATAAGAACAAAAGATGAAAAATGAATAAACATAATAGGGCATTGTAAACAATGTGATTTTAGTTTTAGAAGTATAAATAATATTTATTTATAGAATTTATTTTTGTTTGCTCTTAGATTATTTGACAGAATAATGATTCAAGTTTTTTCGTTGTAATGTTTGTTTGTGGAAAACCTTTGTTTTTGTTTCATGGTGTTTTTCACAATAAAATATTTTTTTTAATTTTAGTTTTATTTTATTTGAAATATCTATCTAACATTTTGAAAATACAATTGTATTATGTTGACTCTCCTTGCCTGCCCTTGTTCAAGAACATTGCTTACAATAGCATCCGACTCTGGAACATCATTATCATCTTGCTCCTCTTCTTGATCTTCCATATCCAAATTAGCCCTACACACATGTTGTGTAGGACACTAGTGGCATTGATAATTTGACCAGCTCTGAAGGGGGCATAATGTAAGACCCTGTCTTTCAATAGACAACGAAACCTATTTTTCAAAACTCCTGAAACAAAATGTTCTCATTTAGTACAAACATATATTAAAAATAAACATTTTTTATAAAATACCTATACATCTTTCCATACAATTCCTGGTTCTTGTCAAAGCTGCCGTATATCTACCTTCAGGAGTATCAGTAGGCATACCTTGAATAGGAGTCATAAGCCATGGCTCTTGTGGATAACCACTATCTCCAATTAACCACGAATTATGATCACCATTATTGTACATTTCTTCTGAATCCTTACATTGGAATTTCTCCAAATAAAAGCGTCATGAGATGCTCCACCATAATTTGCTTTTATATTTAGAATCAATAGATTTGCATCACATATTAATTGTACATTTTTTGAATGATATTGCTTTCTATTGAAATATAGATGCTCATCATCTTGAGGTGTAACAATGAGTGCCATCAATGCAGCCTATTACTCCTGGAAATCCAAATTGCGCCATAAACTGTTCTTTTTTCTGTTGCTTTTCAGCTTCACTTAATGGGAATTTTACCCATCTATGAGCAATTGACTCTAGAGCCAGACAAACTTCAGACACTGCTCTGCTAAATGATGGTTGTGACAATGTCACATACGCCTCATTTCCTCCTGCCTTCTGATATGAGCCCTGAGCAAAAAACCTTAAGGCACCAAAGATCCTTATATGGACGGGAATTCTTGTGCCTCTTGCTCCTGCATCCATATGAGGGGTAAGATCACGAATGAGATCTTGTACCAACTTGATTTTGTGCTTCTTCATCTTCTGCGTCCTGTAGCAAATGAAGGAATATTGGCTCCATACTTTTACATGTAGGTGCTATTTTTTGTACTTCTATCTCCTTACATAAACTTGCACGAGTCGTAAAATCTAAATTATTAATAATTCGGAATTTCCCAACAAATTGACAAATTAAACAAGCAAAACAACAAATATTTTATATCGTTGCCAACTTACCCGAATGACTTCCGAAATTTCCCTAAAAGATTTCAATGTTTTTACAATGGATAGTTCACATTTCTCTGTAACCGAACGTACCCGAACGCCCGTAGAGAGAACACTACAGAATAAGTTCACGACATAGAAAGAAATTTCCTCTCTATACTTAAAGAAAGAAATTTCTGTTTCTAGGACGATACAGAATACGCGTGCAGATTTGTCGTAAATACTAATCAATCAGAACAGTATAAATCAGCTTCAAGCGTAATAGAGAAAAACAACTATAACAACATAAACAAACAGCTATCACTACTCAAGACCTAATCTACAAAAACTGCTCGAAAATATCTCCACCATGTTGAATACACAGCCGTACCCAACTAAAAATTATCACTCCTATTAGAGTTGCAAGAATGATTATACAGTATTCCTTAAACAGCATTGGATACTGTAAGAACATTGGCAAAACCCTCTTAGAACTGCTATACAAGCGGAATGGGCACACCTAATAGGACACTTCAGTCATTTAAGAAGTTGTATGAGGGCTGCAGGTAACAGTTATACAACAAAAGTGTAAGCCTCTTGCAGCCGCTATAGGACATTTGCATCAGTGCAAGATTCAGTTTTTGTCAACTATAAAACTAATCTGTTACGTGATTCTACTTTATTGCTACCAAACTATTTCTTATTTATTGTATAGACGAAGAAGAATATATAACTAACACATTACAGTCATCTTGTTTACTTACATATCGGCCATTGTGAATTTCATACACAGGTATTTGATAAACTTCTACACTGTGATATAGGGCTATTGAATTACTTGCGCAGTAAATTTTATTGTGATTATCGTGCAAATTAGTTACGCAATTTCTACGGGCTTCGTATTTGATTCAAATTTTGATAATGATCAAAAGTATGTCTAGATTTTTAAGATGGAAAACTGAACTTATCTGCGTTAAATCTTCCACAAATCCTATATTTAGACGCAATTACACTAATGTTTATCACTTTATATCTGTAATTTCGAACTGAAACATAATTATTTAATATTAAATAGAGGAATAAATGTTTGCCCAATATGGCGGGTGTTTGTGTATAATCATGGCATCGTCCATGTTGTCTTTAGGTGATTAGAATATTTTGGTGTTGCCTGCAGGTGTTATACAACAATTTGACAAATGTCTGAAATGAAATACCGACAGAGTCGAATGATTTACCCAGAATTTGTACCAGATCTATATCTTCTGTTTGAACAGTTGATAAAACATTTTGAACCAATATGCATGCGTTGTTTGTCTTAAAACATTGGTTATGGCATTTTAACGAAAATATGACAGCAGAAAGTTAGGTTATGGTGAAGTTGTATACCAACATATTTAGCATATGTACAGCCTTTAACAGTTGTATAAGTGCTTCCATTGGGAGCAATTTGTTGGCTAAAGTAGTAAATTGCACAGCAAAACAACAAGGCTTGGGTTTGTTTTATAAACGTTACCATGGATGCCACAACACAACCATTTTGACTAACGTACAAATATGCCGTATAAAATAGTTGTATAAACGTTTATGCAGCAGTTAAAAATTTGCCCTATAAGGTGTTGTATAACTATGCTATAAGAATATTTTAAACACCTCACTTTAGAGCAAATATGTTGCAGAAAGCAAATTTGCATTCCACACAACATTAAGCCAGCATTTTGGTGTTCAGGCAACAACAATTGAGAGCTTTTATGGCTGAACGGTTCTTTTACCAAAAGCTTATAACACTACTTTGCTAATTGGGTAGTCTTTGGCTAAATCACCGTTGCACATCCCTCAGCATGTGTTCCCTTATGTTCAGAAAAGCATCCTTAATCCTTTCCTTCGTATCGTCCGGAGTAGATGGTGGATATCTATAAACCTCTTGCTTAACGTAGCCCCGTAGAAAGAAGTCCATCGGTGTCATATCTGGCGATCTAGGAGTCCAAGATATAGGCCCATCACGACCGGTCCAACGATTGTTACTCCAGGTGTTCAAATAGTTACGCACACGATTATGATAATGTGCAGGTGCGCCGTCATGTTGGAAGTACACATGCATCCGAGTTTGCAGGTTGACATCCTCCAAAAGCAAAGGCATATGCTCGATCAAAAAATTCAAGTATTCTTTACCTGTTAATCTGTTGTCGAAAAGGAAAGGCCCGATAACTTGTCTGCCAATAACTCCTCCCCAAACATTCACGCTCCATTTATTTTGGAAATCTATTTGCCTAACCCAGTAAGGGTTTTCCGTCGCATAATAGTGCATGTTATACCTGTTTACAACTTCTATGCCGTTAAAAGTTGCCTCATCGCTAAAAAGAACCTTATCCAGGAAAGTAGTGTCTTCACTCACTTTATTTAGCATTATTCAACTAAACTCCATTCAAGCCAACCTGAGGATGAAGGCCTTGATGCAAGCATAGGTACCTATGCTTGTGAATAATCCTTTGGACAGAAGTTCCGCATATATCAATTTCTGCTCCAATTTGCCGTGCACTTGAATGGGGATCTTCCTGCGACTTTAATAGAACCTCCAACTGATTCGCCTCATTGGTGACACTTAGATTATTCATACATTTGTTACTATATTCCACTGCTCCACTTGATTCAAAACGTTCTCGTAGTGTGGAAAATGTTTCCGGCCTTGGATGTCGCATATAAAAGGCTTATAAATGCGAGATGCTAGGAAATTATTTTAAACGAACAGCATATTCACCATTTCTGCTTTAGAAAAATTCATTTTCAAACACGTTTTTATTATAATGCTCACAAAGTTAATTTTGACAGTTTGTAACTAATCAACAATTTATTTGTTTCCAAGGATGATGCGATATTTTGGCGAATTAAGTCGTTCCATAAATAACCGAAAAAATAGCCGTAAAAACCCTTATGTGTCTAGTATAAAAAAAAAGCTTAAAAAATGGAATCCAATCTTGCACAAATATACAGAGTGATGCATTTGAAAATGGCTGAAATTAGCTAATTACCAAAACCCCATATAGTATGTTATATCAACTTTCTTCTGTTGAATTGGTTTGTCCAAATATGCAATAAAATTTGAGGCATTTCATTTGAAAAATCACAACTTTGATTTGTTTATGAGTAATATTCCGTCCACACATGGATGGGCCACCCTGTTTATTCCTGATTCGAGATTATTTTGGCTAGCCTAATTACACTTTTTAGAATACTACAGTACTTAGCAAAAAATTCAGCAGAACTTAGCCCTTTTGTCTTTTTATAATATATCAGGAATTCTATTCCCGCTGTAATCCAGACCTTACTCACCTTGATTGTATTAATTTTTTTACGGACAATAATTCTGTCAAAATAGCCATTAAAAACATTTATAAAATCATTGTAAGCATTTTCCACAGTCACATTCATTCACCGACATCCAGTCCATAAGTTGTAGTTCCTGCTTAAACGCATTAATTTTATTTTTGGAAAATACCCTTTTCAGAATAAAATTATTCCTTTCATTACCTGAAGTGGCAGCATCATCTTCCACACACAGAACCTGGGCATGGAGATCACTAAGGGCCGATTTCACCAACATTAATATTATGGACCAATGGGAAAATACCTTATCGAAATCGCAATCTGACAGAAGCTGTCAAAGGTCTCAGAATATCAGTGATTTCTATTAAAATATTGAATAAAATCGTGAACATTCGACTGTATTATAAACAAGACCACTTCTTGATTCCAACATGATGCTTTTGTACAGAGAAAACAGGTCAACTTTCATGTATTTTGATTTGTGTTATAAATTTACATTTAACAATCAGTTATCCCCAAAAGCCAATGGGAATGCGGCAAATAATAGGTCGATTTTCTAGCTGTTAAATTTGGCAGCAGATTTGGACGTTTGTTAATGCATGGCAGCATGGCAATCTCGAATTTAAGTTCAATATACTGTTATCATTACATACCTGTTGAATAGTGTGGATTTGTCTGTATTTTGCAAGAAAATAGAATATAAAATACATTCCATCCAATTCCTCATCTTCCTTTAGATCATAATAGTAATCATTTATTAATTTACGGGTTAATTAATTTCTTCAAAGGAATAAAAACATTGTCCTCTCCATCCTAAAACACAGATAATATGTGTAAGACGTGTCAATCCCTAGATCTCCGTGATGCATAATGCAATTACTATGGACATAGACAAAAAATTATGAAAAATGTCTCGAAAATAATGTCTTTTAAGTCCAAAAATCATAAAAACTATTAATGTGTATTGTTTGATTGCCTTTTTTATTGGTGGGGTTATCTATATGTCACTCGCAGGGTTGCCAAGTCTAACGACGATCACGTCCCGTGATGAAGGGTGCGACATGAATGTTTTACATTTGCTGGTTTTGAATTTAAAGTAGGAATACAAACATAGTACTTATGATAGTTGGAGCTAGACTGATAACACTTCTTGAAGAATATTTGAAAAATATGAACACCGTCATGGTCTGTTGTCAAACTGTAAATGAAGTATCTGAAAATTCTTACATACAGTGGACCTTCGTCATAGTTTACTATCCTGATTATGATCATGTTTAGCAGATGTGTTGTATCACCAAATTGATGAACAAATATAAGAAAGCTCTTATATACCTTCATACAGAGGATTTTTCATGTAAATTTACTAGGTATCATGTTTATAAGCATCTTTGGTGGATTGTTCGATCCGGAATGGGAAAGATCTCCTATTTATGAATATATTTTTGGTATCATCTAACCGTTGCAATCAGTGCACAAAAACTGTGACATATGATTTATAGCATAACCCGCTGCCCTATCAATACAAATTTAACATAAGGTCGCTAACTTCAAAAATTTGAAGATTTTGTACAATTTCTTTGAAAATGATGAAAGATATGTCTGATTTGGCAGGGTAATGTCGCAGCCAAATGGCAGTCACTCTTTCTGACACAGTCCGGATCGAAAGATGACGATACTCGTGAAATGTATTGATACTTCTAAATATAGGATCCTATCGAACATCCTTACTGTCAGGATGTATAACCCGAGGTACCGACGGAGCTATTTTGCGGCGTCATGGATATAATTTTAAATTTTCATTTCCAAGTGTTGTGCAACGATTTTGGATAAAATTCCACGAATACTCTTA